TCATCTGTTTTGAACGTATACTTAGTAAGATTTTTACAATTTTCAGTACGAAGCCGCTTGTATTCTTCATCAATAATTTTTTCTATAGGTTCTTTGTACAAGAATCGACTTTGGCAAGGTGGAATGAATTTTAAACCTTTATTAATAATAAGTAATTGTTCATTGGATAATGGTATAAGAGTATTGGCAAAATATAAACTAAGAAGTATATTTGGATGATTTCGTACATTTAATTTTGATTGGCTCCGACGCCGCCGATGTTCATTGTATCGTTTTGTGACGCCGGAGCTTCGTCGAAAAAAGACTTCAATTTTTGTTGTGTAATATAATCAGCTCGTTCAATCATATGTTTTTCACGTGCTTCAATAGTTTCCATTAATTGTTTGAACATATCAGAATTTGTATTATTTTTCTTTAATTTATCTGTAATAGTTATTAATTTTTGTTTTTCTTTTTTTGCAATTTTACTCCAATGCCGCACTTTGTCATTACCGGCGGCTATACTTAATTCAAGCATATCATATTTAAATCGACCAATTTTTTTTAAACGACGTGCATTTAATATGGTTTGTTGTTTGTTATCATTATCATTAGTCGAAGATTGTTTTGATCGGTTAAGTATTTTATCAATTTTATCAAGAGAGTAATCGAGGAGATTGAATGCAGGTGGTAAACAATTTGAATGGATACGATGTTTTAATATTTTAATTTGTTCTTCCATTTGTTTTTCATTTTGAATTGCTTGCCATATATTACGAATACAACGAATTTGTTGTTTATTTGGTTTTAAATCATAAACTTGTTGTACTAAATGATGATCAGTTGAGTCTAATATTAACATTTTTTTATTGTGTTCAAATTGTTGTTTTAATTTATGTTGACCTTTACGTACAACAGCGGTAACAATTGCGTTCAGGTTTGTAAAATCCAATGGAGGATTCAATTCTGATATACATTGAGGTAATGGTTGATTACCAAAGTTTTGTAATGCTTGTGATGCTTGTTGAATTTGCCGTGCAATTGTTTTTAAACGTTGTATAATTAATGTTTTTGATCGACCATATGTATAATTCATACTATTCATAGCAGCCCATTTTTTTGAAACACGTCCATACCAAATATTTTCTTCCATACCAATATCATAATAATATTTCCATTGACTTTCTTGTAATTGTACATAGAATAGACGATGTATTAAATAAGCATATTGACGAATATAATTAATTTTTTCTTTGGAATTTAATCTTTTAACAATTTTCTTAGCACCTTCTAATGAATTAATTAACATTTTTTTAAATATACGATTTGATACTTTTAAATAATCAGGTATATAAGAACCATCATTATTACGATTAATTTGTTTTTTAGATTTTGAACGTTGCGTTTCTGATCTTCCATTAGTAGTGACTTGTTCAATTTCATTCGTTACTATTTTTGGTTTTTTGGGTGATGGTTGAGAAATAGATAATTGACTTAAAGTGTTATCAATTGTATTCAATGATGGTTTTGATGATGTATCCCGTCTTTTGCGTTTGATTGATTTTTTCATTTTATTATCATGGTGATCAATGTTATTTGGTGTAGAACGAGCCATCTAAATAAAAAGATGAATATTAAAAAAAAAGATTCGAGCTACAACCAATATTACTTGTTCAGATGGTACATAAACTTGTGTTTTGTCTGATATATTTTGTTCGATTACTTGATGATGTTGTTGTTCTCGTTCCTCTTGTTGCTCAAAATTGAGTTTCCGACAATCTAATTCTGTTATTGTATATGGATCTAAACCTTTTCGACGTAGTCGTCGACGTCGACGTTGTTCTTTACGATCACCACGGCACTTTTTCTTATGTTTCTGTTTGTCAGCCATCTGTGGTTGCTCTGGTTCGGATTGGTGTTGTTGTTGTTGTTGTTGTTGCCCAGTCAGTACTTGTGTTGGTGACAATAAGTCATACGATCGACCTTGTGCATCTTGATTTGGAGTCTTGATGGGTTCTATATTCATATTCATGTTCAATAGTTTTATCTACAATAGAAGAAAAAAAATGTTTCATATAATAATTGATTTGGAAAAAAAGCGACAAAAACAAAGTTCAGTTAATTATACAATAACGAAACACATATATATCCTTGTGAAAAACAAAAAACAAAACAACACAGATGACAATGAATTAATATTTCATGTCTTTTTTTTCTTCTTACTCTTACATCTTTAAAAAAAAAATAACAATTTTACTTAGAGTTTGTTTCGTAGTATTCAGTATCACCGTCACTGAATTGGACACAATAATGTAATGAAACCAGCCAAAAATATATACATACAATCAATAACGATTGAAACTAATAGCTACAATTAAAATATGAACAGACCTGTTTTCGATGATAAAATGATCGCTGCTATTGTGATTGTTGTAGTTGTTAAAAGGAATTACAGTAATACAATGGATGTTGTTTGTAAATGTGTTAATCGACGAAATGAATTTATAGCAAGAAATGCAGGCCTATATATAGGAAATGGGATACGCTGTGGTCTGTTATACGACAGACTACGGCTTTATGAGAGGGAGAGAGAGCAAGAAAATGACAGACCATGGCATAAAGAGAGATCACACAGAAAATGACACACCATGGCTTATTACGACAGACTATGGCATCTTACGACAGACCACAGCATAAAGAGAGATTACACAGAAAATGACAGACCACGGCATAAAGGGAGAAGATACAAAAAAATGACAGACCACAACATAGTACGACAGACTACAACATAGTACGACAGACCACAACATAGTACGACAGACCACGGGATAAACAGAGAACATACAAAAAAGGACAGATCACGGCATAAAGAGAGATCACGAAGAAAATGACAGACCACGACATATAACGACAGACTACAGTATCTTACGACAGACCACAGCATAAAGAGAGATCACACAGAAAATGA